TAACCAAAACACCATGTGAGCTTAGATAGGCAGATTATTTTATTTTAAAACAACAGCATTGGACTAAATGATTGGTTCAAGTCTACTTTAGCTTAACAGTCCATGACTCCACTTTGAAGCATATTATTATGTAAGAATTGTTGTCTATGAAAGAATTACTCTATCTTTAAACCTGCTCAGATGAGACATTTAAGATATTTAGCAGGATCTCTTGAGTGCTTTCTTTTTTGCTTTCCCATAGTAATAACATTGCCTCAGGCCAAACTCAAGAATCCATTGTGAAAATCTAATTGTCCAGATAAAAAGCCAAGAGTCAGCAAGCAGTTTGTAATGATATGCATGTCTAAGATATGTGTTAATGGTCTTTATTTTGTTTTCAAGGCCTACTAGAATTAAACATGAGTAGATATTCCAAATTGTAGAATTCTTATACTGAGTCACAGAGTTGCATATAGAGAAGTTTCTCAACCTTGGCACTATTAACCTTTTGGGATGGATAATTTTTTGTTGTAGGGAGCTGTCCTGTGCATTTTAAGATGTTTTGCAACATCACTTGCCTCTAGACACCAGATGCCAGTAATATCCATGCCCCAAGCTTGTGACAACCTCCAATTTTCCAGATACTGCTAAATGTCCCCTGGGGGGCAAAACTGTCCCGAATTGAGAACCACAGATATACAGTAAATCAAAATTAAGGAGAGGGGTTATTTTTTTTATCCCAAATTGACCTCTAACCATTAGACTTTTAAAAATAATTTCTATGATTTCAGACCCTACTGATGTTGCCTCAGATCCTACTGAAAAATATCAATAAATCATTGATTAGCATCTATAAAGAACTTTCTTACTTTGACAAGGTTTTTGCCTCATAGATTACAACTAGAACATTTAAATATTCTTCTTGTTTTTTGGCTTTCTTGAGGTATAATTGACAAATAAAAATTGTTTATGTATTTAAGGTATACAACTGATGTTTTGATATTAAATATTCTTAAAATTGGAAAATCACAAATCAATTGCAGACAAATCACGCTGTGGTGTCTCATTGTTATAGGTATTGATTATACATCATTATTAATTATTTATATGTTGGAATATATATTCAACTTCATCAATCAGTTTTATGAAGTAGGATCCATTAATTTCAGAGATAGGAGGGTTCTAAAGGGTTTTCAGATTTTTATGTTTCTGAAGGGGATCAGAATATGCCACCTCAAAACATGCCACTTTGACATAAAGATTATTTTGAGCTGAAAGCAACTGAGAAACAGCAAACATAGAAGGAGCTCTCTGATCTCTCCCTATTTGCCTAAAAGCAGGGCATATATTTCCCTTTTGTAGGGGAAATTTCCATTTGGACTGGTGCACCCTCTACAACCCCTATCTACCATTAGTTGTGCCCACAGATTTCTAGTCATCTTCCCACAACTGACAATTCCTAGAAGGCCAAACGTCCTTTTCCTTTGTTTAGTCACCTCTCCACAATTTATCGCCCTTTGTTAAAATGGTATCCAAGTCCCCAGGTATAACCACTTTTCTGGGTTTTCATTTCTTTTCTGTGAAGTCTCCATTCAAGTAAAAATATTAACATCAGGGGCCAGCCCCGCGGCTGAGTGGTTAAGTTCACACACTCCGCTTCAGTGGCCCAGGGTTTCGCTGGTTGGGATCCTGGGTGCGGACCTAGCACCACTCATCAAGCCATGCTGAGGTGGTGTCCCATATGCCATAACCAGAAAGACCCATAACTAAAAAAAGTATACAACTATCTACTGGGGTTGGGGAGAAGAAGGGAAAAGAATTAAAAAAAATTAACATCGATAAAGAAACATATGCATTTTCTCCTGTGAACCTGCCTTTTGTCAGTTTAATTGATAGGCTTCCAGAAACTGAACCTGAGAGGGTAGAGGAAAAGCTTTTCCCCTACTACATTTTGAACTCATGATTTGTTGATGAATTTATCATCAAAAAATATGTCAATTACATTTATTCATAAGTACATAATACCACAAGTACATAGAGTATTGGCACTGGCCTTGGAGATTATTATCTAGTTACTGATTTACAGATGAGAAACCAAAGCTTAGGGTTTAGGTAACTGAAAAAGCCGAAATAAACTACATTTTTTAAAAATGAGAGGAAGATGAAAGGGAGAAAGGAGCATAAGAAGGAAGAAGAAACAAAGCCAAGAGGGAGAAAAGTAATGCTTTTAGTGGGGCGCAGCAGGGAGTGACTGACGAAAGCCTGCAAACAGCAGATCTCAGTCCCTGGGATCCATACAGAACAAGAACGAGAGAAGTGACAGGCACAGTTTTACAGCTTTGAACCAAGTCGGCACTTCCTCTCCAGGGGAAACGGTTGCTGGAGGAGACCCGTAAAAGCAGTGATGGGGGTGGAAAGAACCTCTCTGCTCCTAGGTCAATGTTTTATACCACACGATTAACTTGATTTGCTGCTATCTGAAGGGGGTGGGGTGGGAAGAAGGGTGTGTGAGTACATTTTAAACTTTTATATTTGGAAAGTTTTTCTTATGAGTTTATCTTGGGGCTTTTTAATCTAAAGGTATAACTTTAAAAATATAATAAATAAAACAGAAATAAAAGGTAGATCCAGTAAAACACAGTGGTCGACCTTTGGCTGCTTCTCTCCAAGTTTTAAGTTACATTTGAAATCTGTCCAGGTATTCCAATATGTTATTGGTCAGTTTGAGCTGAAAGCATTTAGATGGGACTAGAACTATATAATATTTTTAAATTAAGAGCACAAATTATCTTCCCATTTAAACTGGCCATTTAATGAAAACTATGCTTTGTTAGTACAAACAAACAAAAATCAGCCATTGCATGAACAACAATCCATCATTAAAAAAGGCTTAAAAACAATTCAGATACTCAAAGGCAATTGATACAACTTAACTTTTTCAAGTGGAACTTCAGTGAAATTCAAGAGAACATATAATTACTAGTTTTCCTATGTACAGAGCAGAGTACTAAACATCTGGGGTAGCAGAATGAAAAACTCAAGGAACCCAGATTATTATCAATAGGCTGCCAGAAGATAAAGAAACTCCTACACATAATGAAAACAAATGCATTAATGCCTCATTCCCCACAAAAACACAAACAAATACCTTTTAATCTCAGTCTGTTCTAAAATGTGTTTGATTTGAGCCCTTCTTTTCACTGCTTTTAACAGTCCTTCTTTCTCAAGAGCCTGCAGAGAACAAGGCCCACAGTAGGGGAGTGGAATGCTTACTTCTGGAGTCTATGCAATCACAGGTGGAATCTAGACTCACAGGATGTAGGAGCTGTACAGGCCTCTGGGGTCCTCTAACCCAACTGCTTATGTCAAAGGCCCAAACTGAGCTGTTCAGTGGTAAAGTTAAGATGGGAATCGGCCCTCTTGACTCTGAAGCAAGGGCCCTAATGGAAACTAAGGCCTGTCTTGCCTTTGGCCTATGTGTAGGCTACAGGTATTCCCAGTCTTCTGGAGTACAGCTAAAGTCTTAGGGCTAAACAAGGTGTGAATAAGCTTCCTCCAGCTCCTTTTAGACTGGAGAAGCTCTAGGCCTGAAGGGGGCCATCAGAGTGGTCCATGGTGCCCTGGTTCAGACTTCTTACAGACTCCCAAATGAGACCAGAAATGGATAAGCCTCTACTACTGCTACATTAAGTGCTCCACACTTAACATAAAATCAGGCTTTCCTCAAAATATAATTCCAGGTAATTTATTCTCTTTATTGGGAATACCGCCCATCAAAATGGTTGGGAAAGGAGAGGAAGAAGAAACATTTAAGAAAGTATTTTTTAAAAAAGCATTTACATTGAATATTGCAGTCAGAATTTTTAAAAGGCAAGAAATTTTATTTCAAATTCACTGGCAGAATCTATAAATATATCATTCATTTCCTGGTTGCTTAGGCCATTAAGGGTCTAATCTATTTCCTGAGCTGAAACTAGCTAATGGAAAAATATTTAGAATAGTAATCATCTAGTGAGATGGGCATTTGGCACCTATTCACCCAAAACACATTCTTCGTCATAATTCCCTTCAGTAATTTATACGGTTTCTAAAGGAATAATCTCACTTTTTACAATGAAAGGTTTTTGGTATTAAAATATGGTAAGCCTCCCCCTTTTTTACCCCTAACGTTTCATGAATAAGGGCACCCCTCTCTGACATTCTTTAGCCTCAACATACACGTAACATGAGGTTGGGAAGTGGACTACCTGCTTTCCTACCAAGCAATTCATTCATGAAATCACGGGACAAAAAACAAAAACATGAGGTCAATATCATTATCATAACAAAACTGAGATTTTTGTATTTACATGATGGAAATCTGTTAAATAAGCTTATTACACCACCTATTTGCAATACAGCCCCAAAGCAGCAGAGGTTCAAATTACTGAAAGTAAACCATGGTGTCTAGAGGCTGGATTTACCATGGGCAGCCCACAGTGTGACACTCACAATACTTCTCAAAGTCTCATTCCCACAAGATTCTTTCTCTTTTGTGGCCAGCACTTAGCACACCTGTGACACATCTGTTACTAGGTGGAGGGTTCAAATGGCAAACTAACTTTTTATATTTATCCTCAGAGCAGCATTCCCAGAAGGTAAACATGCCAGAGGAAAATCCACAACGGGTTTTGCATTTTGGGCTCATACGTGAGAGAGCCAATCATGACTTCAGGGTGATCTGTACCATTCTGCCCTTCCTTCAGCAAAGTTTATCAAGAGTTGTCTTTGAAAATAATCTACCAGGCCAGGTTTGGGCTTTTGAGGAAAGCTAGCCTTTGAATTGAGACCTAGGAGTGTGGTGCTCAAGAGTTACGCATAACTGTGAAATCTGAGTCCCCCAGAGGAAATTTCTTTTAAATCAGTATCTGTAAAGTATGGTTTATACAAAAGATAAAGCTCAGTATAAGGTGTAGTTTGATTAGATAAAAAGATTACTAAACTTCAAGAAAAACACCCTACTTTCTTCTTCTTCTTCTTTTTAAAATATGGAATGCTTCATGAATTTGTGTGTCATCCTGGTGCAGGGGCCATGCTCATCTTCTCTGCATTGTTCCACTTGTAGCATATGTACTGCTGAAGCGAGCGATCTGCTTTCTTTCAAATAGCATCCTTGCATATTACAAGTTATTACCTTTTCATAATTCAGACACCAGTGATAAAGCCATTTTATATGCTTGGGCACAGAGCATTAACATAATTATTGCTGCTCTAAATGCCTCAATCCACAACAGAATTAGCAATAATACAGTTCCATTCCTTTTAGAAACATCTCATAAAAACAAAAACATTTAATTTCATTTCCTAAAGAAAAATAACAAATTTCTGCCAAAAATGACCAATATCTTCTTTAAAGAAATGTGCTCATCAAAGCGAAATCAAAACTCAGTTCTGTCTACTTGCCACATCCCATACAGTCATTGAAATTTGTTGTTAAAATTTTTCTTCATGGGTTTCACATTCACCATAGATAAATCTGTTCATAACACACCGCCCAGTGGTGTTGCACACAAGGCAGAAGCGTTTCCTGACCTCAGCAGGCTTACAACAAGCCCCTGGAATCATCCAGGAAAGGGAAATTGGACAATGTAATTTATCAAAAAGGAAGGGCATCAAAACTCAGTATCAGAGATTTGTATGTGTTATTGCACCTGCTTATGATGCTATGTCTTTGGGGCTGCTGACACCAATTTGCCTGCCACTGTTTTGTGCTTTTTTACTCAGAACTTGAAGTGATGGAGACCGTGAAGCAATTCTGTGTACTCTTGAATCTACCTATGCTCTTTGCAGACTTTAACAGATATGCTGCTTTTCGGCGGTTCTCACAGTTAACATTTCCAGGTAGAAGTTTAAAAAGTGCAATCAATTAAATAAAAATTAAATATTTGATTCCCACACCACTAAACTCAAACAATTAATTAATTGAAAGATAAGTTCTAGTGTGCGACAACTTTAAAGGTAAACTATCTTTCTTCCGTCTTGATAAAACTGCCACTGGAACAAAATTGGCAACTCAAGTGAGTAAGACTCTAGAAAAACTAAAGCAGTCAAACAGTGTCATTTGACTGTACGATCATGATTGAAATTGTTCTAATGACAAATTTAAAATCCAGGTCACATAAACCTAAGAATTTGTAGAAAGGTAGGAGTTAATTTCCTAAGATACCAAAGAAAAAGATTCCAACTTCTTCACTGAAAATAGAAAAAATTATTTAAAACAGAAATGCCAAAAAATTGCTTTCAAGACTATAATCTGAACAAGGAAAAAAACAAACAAGACAGGTATAAGAAATATATTCTCTTCATTATGATAATAAAATTGGACTTCTACACAATTAGAGAAGATAATAAAAATACAGCAAAATATAATTTACTTATGGTACTTAATGAGAATCATGCAGCCCCCATCTTGACCTGTGGCCCCTGTGCCATGGGCTCTGAATCTGATCTGCACCATCCCACCACATCGAGACTGGAGGGAAGATGCTCTCATCTCTAGGTCCTCATAAAGCCCCACATGTATCAGGGTTTGAAAATGTAATTTTACTCTATTAGTTTTCTATTACTGTATAACAAATTACCATAAATCTAGTGGCTGAAAAGAACACTGGCTTCCAAATTCTTTCAGGTTGTTGGCAGAAGGCAGTTCCTTACAGTTCTAGGAATGAGGTCCTGTTTCTTTGCCAGCTGTCACCTGGGGGCTGCCCTCAGCTCCTCAAAGCTGCCTACATTCCTTCTCCTGCAGTGCCTTCCATCTTCAAAGCCACAATTGAACATGGAGTCCTTCTCATAACTCCCATCTCCTTGACTCCCCTTCTGCCACCAGCCAAAGAAAGCTCACTGCTTTTAAGGCTCATATGATTAGATTAGGCCCACTCAGATAATCCAGGATACTCTCCTTATTTTAAGGTCAACTGTGACATATAACACAGCATAATCAGAGAAGCCATATCCCATCATAGTCACAGGTTCCAGGCATTAGGGTGGGACATCTTTGGGGGCTATTTAAGAAATTCTGCCTACCAAAAAAATTAAGGTGAACAAAATAACAAAAGCCTATTGGTTTTGTGAACTTGTTCATACGTGAAACAAAGATATTCTGAAGTCCTCACACTTGGATAAGCAACATATGCAAATGGAATAAAATAGAAAAGATACAAAAGATATACAACAGAAAGTAAGACTTTCTTCTAATACTGCCCCTGAGCCCTCCCTAGGAATAACAACTGTTTATTAGTTTCTTACGTGTCTTTGCAGAGATATCCGTCTTTATTAAATCACATATATTTGGGAGAACTGGTATTATCTATCCCTGAAAGATCGGATAGAAGTCCCCCGTTAAATCACCTGGGCTCACTCAGGCTTTTTGGGAGGGGTTTAGGGAGAAGTTATTCTGTGATAAATAGTTTAGATTTCTAATTATCTGAGGTTAGTATTGAATTTTCTATTTTCCCATTTTATTTTCCTAGAAAATTATCCATTTCTTCTAGGTTCTCAAATTTGCACAGGACTGAGCAAAATATTTTCTTATAATTTTCTTATTCTTTTCTGTTTCTATCATTTCTCCATTATTATTTCTCATTCTATGCTCTCTTCCCTACGTACCTTTTAATTTTATTAGGTTAACTAAAGACATTTTTTTTTTTTAAGAATCTGCTCTTTTATTTATTCTTCTGACCAATTTTCTTTTTTCTAATTCATTAACTTTCATCTTTATTCCTACCTCCTGTTTTTCAAAGTTTTTTTTGATCATTTTTTCTAACTTTTTGAGTTAGATATTTAATTTGGTTATTTTCTTTCCTTCTTCATTAAAGACATGTTTCTGAACTCTGCTTTAGCTCAATCCCATAGGTTCTGATATGTAGTGTTTTCATTGTGCTTTTTTCCCTTCCGTAACCTGTTAGATTTCCTCCATGATCCAAGAGTTGTTTAAACAAAAATTTTAGGGGCTGGCGCGGTGGTGCAGTGGTTAAGTGCACACGTTCTGCTTCGGCGGCCTGGGGTTTGCCGGTTTGGATCCCAGGTGCAGACATGGCACCGCATAGCAAGCCAGCTGTGGTAGGTGTCCCACACATAAAGTAGAGAAAGATGGGCATGGATGTTAGCTCAGGGCTAATCTTCCTCAGGGAAAAAAAAAATTAAATATAAAGGTGATAAAATTTTTTTCTAATTCTTTTCTTAATTTCCAGTTTTATTGCAATGAGATTAGAGAATGCTATATGTTTTTATTTTGCCTTTTGGAATTCATTGAAGTTTTCTTTATGGTCTATTTTTGTGAATGTTTTATTTAGCATTTAAAAAGGTCTATTCTTAGCTTTCAGGATACAAAAATGACAAATATCAAACAGTTACTTTATTCATTATTTGTATTTGGGTTTTCTTTTTCTTATTTTTTGTCCACCTGATCTCTTATGTACTAAGAGAAGAAAATTAATGTTTCCTACTATTATCATGTAACTACTTCTCTGCGCGTTTCCCATAGTTTCTGCTTTATTGATGATAGTGGTATACTACTTATGAATCATCCTTCTGTGCCTTATTTAAAGCTTTTCCTCTAAATCCAATCTTGCCTGATATTAAAGAAGCAATCCCTACTTTTTTGTTTGTGTTTTCCCAGTAAGCTTTTGCCCATGTTTTCAAGTTTGTCTTTGTGATTCTTCATTGAGTCCATTACCCTGCTTCTTCTTTATGCCTAATCAGGGCCAAGGAAGCTCCTGAAGCCAGCCCATACACCCCATCCCAGTAGTCTAAACTACGCATCATTGGTCTGTCTGAGATGTGCAGCTGTGGGTATCTTTCTTCAACTGTATTATCTGTTCTTCACCACATATTGTGGTTTGGGGTTGCACATGTCTCCTAGTTTCTTTCAAGATGGGGTTCATATTTCTTCTTTTTGTTCTCCTAGTGCAGGTGGATGCATGATATTTGCTCTGCCATTTAAAAACTAGAAGTCTAGAATTTGTTTTTTGCCAGTTCTCCTCCACTATCCATTCCCTACATCATGCTCTCTGGCCAAAGGCTTATGCTGTACTGTGCTCTGCAATGTTCCTGATAACAGTATGTTCTGGTCCTTAACCCTCTGAATGAGGAAGGCAATTTCTTATCTGGCTCTTTGAAATTCCTCCCACGGTATCTAGGCTATTCTACACTGCCTATCTCAGCCTCTCCCAGAAGCTTCTGGATATCCTACTCTTGTCTCTGGCTCATGTCTCTCTCTTCAGCTTAGTTTAGTCTTACTGAAAGTATACTTTTCCAGCCAACTCAAAGTTGATAGTAGACCTCAAGACAAACTAATAGCTGGGCCACGTTATGTGCTCAATTTCGTGTTTCCCCTACTATGTAAAAAACCCTCTCCTAGGCATTGCTGAGGCATGCCAAAATGAATGCCTCAGGAACTCATAATCTAGTAGAAAGAAAAGAAGAAATATTGTTGTTATACTTTTTTGCTAAAGGCACATTTCCACGTAGTCTCTTCAAATGCCGTGTTACATCATTAGCATTATCCATCTGTCTCTGCGCCCTCCCTATATCACACATCCCCTTTCTTAAACAATGAGAGGTAAAATGACTTTTCCGCTTCAAAGTCTGTATCCTCTTGAGGTGGGCATAAAACTGCTATCATTCATCTCCTTGTCTCAGTTGCAGAGCCAAAATAATAAAAATTGAACTCATAGAGCTATTGTGTAAACTAAGATCCTTTGGCTACAAAGAAGAGAGACTCACTTAAGTTATCTCCAGTGACTGCCTGTGGTTGTGTGTGCGCGCGCGTGCGAAAGAGAGAGAGAGAGAGAGAGAGAGAATGAAGGAGGGAGAGGAGTATCAGTGGGAGTATTATTGTAAGATTTCACATGAAAATAAAGAACAAAGGTATGCCATGTGGCTAGGCCTCATAGTAATTTATGGAAAGCAGCTTCACCAGGCCTCATGAGAAGTTCAGGATCATAGACTGACAATTGCAAGTTGTCCAGGATCAGATAGACGTGCAATGATTTGGTTAGTTTCTCACCCCTTTGGCAACAATAATTCGTTGATCATCCTCTTCCCCTACAGATACTAGGTAAAATCTTTGTATCCTCACACTCACTTT